AAGATGGCTGGTGTGGAATATTTGAAAAATAGCCTCTTCTCTCGGCCGTTTGAGAGTGCGTGAGCAGCTCAATGTGTTTGCTTTTAAGGCAGGCAGAAGGTAGGTCCTGTGAGATGGCTGCAGTACGCCCTGTGGAGTGAAAAGGTCTCCATTTTTTTATGATACTAGCAAGAAGCTTATGCATTAGAAACAACAGTGTTAAGTGTTGTTGACATTTACAGTGAAGGTCTCCACTCTTCCACATAAATAACAGATAAAAATGCTAGAATTCAGACGGGCTGGTTCTCACTGTGTGGTCACTGCCCGCCTAATTTCGAACTATTTACTTATAGTTTTTCCAAATGTCTGAAAATTTCAGGGTCAACCTGAAGTCAAGATGTACTCGAGTTCAGAGAAGTCGTGCAGTCCTGAGATGCTTTTGAATCTTCTGATGTTATAAGGAGAACTGATAGAATGTGTCATGATAACTTGGGATTCTTAGATAAATTTAGTCAACTCCTCCTCTAGATAGGAGGAAAATGTGCAGAGGCTTACTGCTCTGTTTGTATAGTAATAGTGTGCGCATAGTGGTTGATAGACAAATGGCTTAAACAATCTCCCTTGCTCCCCAGTAACCTAAATTCTCCGTGACAAGAGAAGAAGTATAATAAACAGAAACTTCAACTGCGGAAAGCTGTCATAGATCCTTTGCCCTGGTGATGTGCTCGTTATTTAATAATGGGAGAAAAATGGGCCTTTGGTGACTGTGCCCTCCAAGGAGCTGCAGAGATGCAGCTTGTGCATCATCAACTTGATTGCAAGGGAGACAAAATGATTCCCATCCAGCTCAGTGCTGGTGGAAGACCCATCTTTACCCTCACTGCTTCTTAAGCTGTTTGGTGGGAAGTAAGGTGGACAAAGGGATGCTTGTGTATTTTGTCCTCTGTTCTTGTTGGGCAGCACTCCCTGCCTCCCAGGGCAGAAGGGAGGAATGCACTACATTGACTTTGAGGGATGAATCCCAGGCAGTTAGATATGAAGAAAGCTTGTATTATTTTAACTTCCCTTTTCATTCAAAAATTAATTTTAAATGTGTGCTGTCTAAGAAAAATAACACAAATACCAATAATTAAGGTATATGTCCCTATCACTTGCAGGATCTGGTTTGTTCTCATTTGTGTGATTTTTGATCTTAAGAGAAGCCATGCTAAGATGCTTTCCTTTCCCAAGACAGCTAACACCTGCAGGACAATTGCACTGACATTTAAACCTCAATGTTTTCCTGTGGTCTGAAGAAAGGATTTAGTCTTGGTAATGACTTGATGATCCTTAAGGGTCCCTTCCAACTCAGGATATTCTATGATTCTATGATTCTATGATACCTGCCTTAAATCTTACAGTATGAACAGGAAGAACAGTGCACAGCAAGTGTTGCTGCTGTTGGCTTTCCTAAGCTTCCAAGCAGTTCCCAAAACTGTGGCCACTGAATGGCTGTTGGACGATCTGTGTCTGCTCCAGCCCCCCAGTGAGGGCAGGTGGCAAATGCTGCCTGCCATGCAGCCCTGCAGTCTCTGCACCGTGCTCTCCAGGGTTCGTGTTTCTAGGCGTGCAGTGCCAAGACATGTCTGCAGGGCTGGTTCGCTGGGGTTCTGCACCCAACAAAAGTAGCTGAAACTTTTCCAGATGGGAAATGGTTTGCAAAGAATGAGACCTGCCTGAATGGGGATGTGTCTGAGCTAATGAGTTCTGTTACACCTGAGCTGGCTGCGTGCCTGGGCCCTGGAAGCGAGAGGTGAGTGCACGCATACCTGTTGCTTGTAACAGGAAGGATTTTTATCTTTTGTAGTACTCAGAACATGTATACTCAAGCCCCTCCCGGCCCCTCCTCAGTGCACTGGTGTACGAGGCAGAGCACACCCACCACTGTCTGCTCTTCTCATTTGCCAGGCACGAGAGAAGTGGTGCCTGGGCTGGTGCTGTGTCTGCATCCATGCCTCACTTTATTCATAATCTGGGTGAACCATCTACCAAAAAGAAACCCACAAGTTGGTTGTGTAGCTGTTGCTCTAATAAAACTGATCTTTCTTTTTAGTATGGTTCCATGTTAAAGCAATACACAATCAGTGCCCTTAAAGATAATAGTAAAATAAATTGAGAAAAACTGACAGTTATTGGAAATAAAATGTGCTCTTCCGAAACACTGCCCTTGGACTGCTCTGTTCAGATTCCTTTGGCTTTTGCTGTGTTCAGGTGCAAGTAGGTTACTGGTGCCAAATGCACATGCCCCCCTCAGCAGCAGTGCGGTGTCCAGCTTCTAGCAGAGTTCAGCTCAGGTGAAAAGATCTAGTGCCTCTCCCTCGCTTGGACCGTTAGCTTTCCTTGCTAGTGCTTGTGGCTCCTGTACCTGACTTCCAGTGAGGATGTTGGAGTAGAGAAACCAGCACTGAGGGCACCCGTGCCACCTTCATTCCTGCCGCACACCAATACTTGGCAGTGAAGGACTTTTCCTGAGCTTCAGTCAGCAGGTTTGAATGATAACACTGTGATTTGTGCAACTTCCAAACCTCTCAGGTGCAACGTGTTAGATTGTGGGGGTTGCTGAAAAATTGTTTCCCATTTCACTATTCCTAAACTTCACTGAATATCCTATCTTGTTGTTTGTTTTGTTTGTGTTTTCTCTCTGGATGATGGGAATGGGGAGCATCCCAACCCCAAACGCTGCCATATCCAGTCCTAAAGTAGTCATGTTTCATTCCTGAATGTTCGCTATGAAGGCATTACTAATTAGCTGGCAAGCTGTGAAAAACAGAATTGTTTGAGTGCATTAGTCAACTGTATCCCATGTGCTTTTTAATATAATGTAACGGATGGCCTCCAAGAAGTGCAGGGTGTTAATCTGTGGGTGGTAGAGCAAACCTGGCATAACAAAAGCTTGGTAGATGGGAGGCTGCAGCCCTTGACATGTGATCCTTTGATCTCTTTTTTTCTGAGAGTATGGGAAAACAACCACAGAAACGTATACCATCCACGGAAGAGACAGGCCAAGGAGAGGACTGTGTCATGGAGCCATTAGAGGTCACAGCAACCTACTGCTGTTGCAGAAGACGTAGGGAAATAGCATTCCTGCTGGAGAGGGAGTCTGCTATCAACGTGTCAGAAAAAAAAATCTTCAAAAGAAGGAAAAATTTAAAAAGCTACATTATTTTGTTAACAAAATATGTTGCTTTTACTCTACAAATTGCTTTTTTTTTTTCTGTAGTCTACTCCAAAATAAGATCTTCTGAAAGTAATCTCAGTTCCCAGCTTGCAACAGTTGGCAGGGGCTGTCAGTAATGCCATGTCAAAAAATCCCAGATTTGAAGTAACCATTAGTCATTTTCTGTTTATCACCTTTGTATGTCTGCCTCATGTCTCACTGGTTTGTTGTCTAGGCTCAGTTATTTGGCAGGTGGGCTGCCTGAGGCCTGTGTTTGTCCCACATCCTCACCCTGTGCTTTCTGCAGTGATGGAGCAAAGCCAGCACGTAAAAACAGAAATCCCTGTTTGAAAGGGACAGCCCCTAACTGCGCCAAATGCCCAAAGTAGTGTCAGGAAAAATATTAAAGTTCAGTGTAAATAATCATTTGATGTCAATCTTTTTAATGTTGCTGTGTCACTTTTAATCTTTTATGAAGAAATGACATTTGCTCTTTTGGACTGGTTGTTCCTAGGAACCTTTGAACCAGTTGACCAAGGAATTCAGGGAAAGGATGTGACAGATATCTATAATCTCCTGAGGAAAGTGGAAGGGACTGATTGTTCACAGTCTTTTCCAGTATAAATGAAGGTAGGAGTAGCCAGATTTATAATCAGGAAAGGGAAGTGACTGAGAGTCCATATGGATCCAGGAGGACTCTGAGCTCATAGGACAGAAATCACTGCAGGTTGCCAGATCCATAGGAGCTATACCTGATGTGCAGAACCCTGATTTGAAAATAACTAAATTCTAGAGGAGTATTTGAGAGAAGCACTATTTCTGTTTGCTTTGTTCTTGTGCTCTTCTTAGGCAGCTGCTTAAGGCAGCAGTTAGAGCCAGGATTTGGGGACGGACAGACTTTTTGTCTGAACTAGTGCAGCCATTCTGGAGTTCCTGATACATCTGTAAACCCGGGCTAGCCAGAGCATTGCTGCTGCATGGACGGGACGTGATGGAGTTTGGATCTTTATGGGGGAGAGAGGTTGGAGAAACTTGGTATGAAGGACGAATCTAGAAGGGAGCAGACTCCACAGCTTCCAGACTTTATAGATTTATTTATGTGTAATCATTGTGCTTCTGTAATTTAATACGTTTAATATGGGCATGTGTCTATGCTTGCATAACTAACACCATCTGGTTGCTGCAGTGTTCTCTGGGTATCAGTTTAGGCTTTGTGGCTCCATGGGCATTTCTTTAAGCAGCTGTGATGGTTTAATTGGATTCTGCCATGAAGAAAGCCAGACTGAGGAACTGAACTAAAAGTAACTAAGCAAAATAAAACTAAATAAAAAGTAAATACAAATACAAAAGCGAAATCTAACTAAACTAGAAGTATAAACTAAAAGTAACCCAGCAAAATAGAATGCGTTAATTTTAATGTGTTTCTGTTCCTGCATCCAGTTCACCACTCAGCTGTGTAAAAGCTTGCATGAAGCAAGCACTGGCAGTGGTATTGGCTTTTTCATGTCTGAAGTGTTTGTGGGACTGCAATCCCAGGGAAGTGGGTGTGAAACCACTGCCTTAAACTGGAATTTTTTTCCTTGCACCCTCTCTGTGCAAGTCTCTGGTGCACTCTGTCAGAATTTGGCACCTCAGTGTGTCTCTGCAGTCAGTGTGTGAAGGTCATTGTCCAAATGAAATCGGAATATGCGAGTTCAAGCGGTTATTCATGATGAGAACCTTATTTCAGTCCCTCCAAGTAAGCGCTTCAGAAGCCTTACATACCTTTGTTTTTCATTTCCGCTCGAAGTGAGTTCTTCCTAATGTCTTCTTCCTTTCTCCCCAGATAATCTGATCAAAGCCATCCTGTCAGCAACCAAAGATTACCGTCTAACTCCAGCTCTTGACAGGTAAGATGAGACCTTTTAGAGTAGGAGGAATTGAAGCAATTATTTTCCCTGTCCTAAATAAATGTTGCCAGAGATTGCCTGTGCCTTGGAGGTGGATCAGGAGCTGGAAAGAGTCCTCTTTCCAGTAAATCTGTAAACTCTGGAGGCCTTTAAGTCAAGCATAAGTGGAAAAAACAGCCTTTACCTTTTGACTATTTCCTAGTCTTTTGTTCCCTGTGGTATCACAGTACACTCTCTTGCCTATTTTTCAAATAAGTAAATAGCTGCTTTTCAGTAAACACATTCTTTTTCAGCCTTTCTGACAAAGAAATAGGATCACAAGGACCTCTTAGCGGGAAAGAAGGGGCTGGCTTGTTTTAACAATGTCTCGTGAATTCCTCGCTCTTCAAGCAGGAATGTGTGATTGTGTTGTCCCAGCCTGTGCCAGGATGCGATAGCAATTCTCTCGGGTCCTGAGGTATTTGGACCGGTGCCTTGGGAAGAAGCTCCTGTGATTCTTCAGTCCTATTTGTAGAGCTTGGTTCTGAGACTCATTGACATGTTAATGATCAGCTTCCCAATGATACTCCTCTCGTCTTTCCTATCCTTGCTTTACTGTCGTTCCTTTCCCTTGCCCAGCAGTTCTGGTTTAGTGCCACCTCCCAGACTGGAGGTGGCTTCCTTGAGAAGCTGTCAGAGTTTTTCACTGGGACACGCTTTCTTTCACAAGTCCTCATACTACTCCTTTCCAAGCAGCGGTGCTTCCTTGAACGCAGGCTAGCAACACAATTCCTGCTTTCTAAACACCTTGGTTTTATTTCCTGGCCCAGCATCCCCTCTGTCCACTTTTCCATGACGACGTTCAGAAGCTTTTCCAGCCTTTCCATAGCTGTCCACATCTCGCACGTTGATTGTAGAGCTTGCCAACTATAGTTAGAGTTGGGAGTTCATCTCTATGTTGAAAGTTTGTTCTTTTTTTTTATTTATTTATTATTTTTTTTTTGCAATCCATGTGCTAATTTAGGTTGCTTTGAAGTTTGTCTTCTCTCACAGCAATGCTGGATACACTTAGCCTTTAGAATATGGATTAATTTGGGAAATGATGTCCAGAAGGCAAAATCATTTCACAAATGACCTTTGAGATTTTACACACAATTGAGTCTCACCCATCTGGGATTTATCTCAGCCCTGGTTGGAGAGTTAAGATTTTAATCTGTTGAAAAATCTACAGATAGACACTTTCAAAAGTTTGCTCATGGGAAATAAGTGTTAATGACATGGAGGACAGGTGAAATATTCATGCAGTGAGAGTTAATGTAGTAGCGACTCTTGCTGCTCACCTGTTTTTTGAGGGGTGGGATGTTGTTGTGTTTTTTGTTATTGCTGTTGTGTGGGTTTTTTTTTTAAGTCCTTTCTCAGGAGATTGTGAGATACAGCCACACTAGCACCAGCTGCTCACTTTTTTTTTTGTTTTCTTTATAATGGCTTTGGTGTAGAGATAGGAGAGACTTAACACTTAGGTTCGTGTGCTTGTAAATACATAGATTGGGGAAATAACTGTTTCCTTGGGAACTTCTGTGGTAAATGCAGAGCAGTGGATGTTGAATGTACGCATTTCTTTTAGCAGCCCAGAAGCCAGGTGCAGGGAGATCAGTCTCTTCTGGGGCTGTGCAAACTGTGTATGCACACACATGCATGCTGGCACCCTGAGTACAGGGTGCTGTGATGCACTACTGCAGTCAGGCAGGCGTTGTAGGAGAAGGCATAGCGTATCTTCTGAGCTGATGGAAGCAGGTGGATTACTGCTAGCTGCGGTCATCTCTGGATGTTGTTTTCCCCATTCAGTGGGGCAAATGGGCCACTTCATGTGTCTGTATCTCTGGGCAGTAAGTGCTTTTTTCCTCAAATGAAGTGAATGCAAAAGGGACAAGAAAGGCTTGGAAGTCGCAAAGTGAGAACCTGAAGCAGTAGGTAGATGGAGTTGCAGCAAAGGGGCTTGGGTATGCTTCCCAGGATGTTCTCTGTTGTGATTATTGATGAATTACAGTGCTGGCAGCAAGGGGCCTGCACTATTTTGGATTCCAAAAGAGCTGATGGAGCAGGCTGTTGAGGGAAGGCTATCTACTTTCCGATCTTGGCTCAAGCTCCAAGCAGAGACAACAGTTCATTCATTCCAGTTCATTCCTGCCTTGGTTGAAGTGGTCAACTTCAGGGCTAACCAAAACTTAAAGCACATTGCTGAGGGCATTACCCAAATACCTCGTGAACACTGACAGGCATGGGGCATCAACTGCCTTGCCAGGAACCCTGTTCCAGTCTTTGGCCCCTTCTGCAGTAAAGACATCTTTCCCAATACCTTGTCTGAAGGGGGATCTTAAAGTGAGCCTATTTTAAAGGTTTCTCTCCTAACCTAGATCGTTTCAGTGACCTCACTTACAGAGCTCTCCTCCCACTGAGCAGGGGCTCTGGCACAGTGCTGGAGCAGCAGCATGAGAGGCAGAGGGCTAGGGCTGGGTGGGGAGGGTGAGCACTGCTCAGTCTATTGAAGCAAGCGTTCATGTAACCACACGCTGAACGCAGCTTTCCCGGGGGAAGGGAGGGAGAGGCAGGGGAGGTGAGGTCAGAGCAGTGCGTGAGAGCATAGGAAGGACAGAGGAGATTAGGGCTGTATTGGGGGGGGACCTACACCAAGCCTTCAGTCTTGTCCCCACCCAAGCTTCTCCATTTCTGAGCTCCTCCACAAAGCTACCCCTTGGAGATGTTACCTTTGCTTACGTCCTAGAAGCCCTGGAAGTGAACTTGTTTGTTTAATTACCCCTGTGCCAAAAGGGCATCCTGATGCACCTTTCCTGACACAATGTACCGATGTGGTGCTGAAATGAGGCAAACTCAATCCTTCCGGGTATGCGTACACCTTTCATCATCCCAAAACAGCTTTGTCAACTCACTCCAGCTAATCCCTCCATTGTGAACAGAGTCGTGTTAATAACTTGCAGCAGCTGGAGGGCATGCGAACAAATGCTACAGTTCAAGTCTGTAGCAGTGCAAGTGATGCTGTGCTTTCTTAGCTGTTCTTCGTGTCAGCTTTATCATGGCACGTTTTGTGTTGTACTGCTTCTGGGAGCGTGTTCCTGTTCCAGGGCAGGAGGCAGGTAACGTTGCAGCTCTCTTGGTGAGGGTAGTTGCAACTCAGCACTGAGCTTTTCTGCAGAAGGCTGGAGATCCAGGGGGCATCCTGTGGAATTAGTGTCCTCTTCTTTTGGTGCTGGCCTATCTTTGTCCCTAGCAGAGGTGTTCACAGGCCTTGTCTTTGACACTTCTGGGTTATCTTGTCCTCTGGCTTTTCCAAGCCCATTATATCCATCTTGTTTTTGCTGTTTTAGTGGTTCCTCCAGTGGCCTACCCTCTCATTCTGCAAATCGAGCTTGATTTACAGTTGCCCAGCTCTTTTGCTAGCTGGCCTTCAACAGATTTTGGGTTTAAATTTCTGTGGTGACTGCCTATAAATTTCATAGGAATGACATAAATCCAAAAATCTAATTGACCATTTTGTATTGCCTCCAGATAGCAATGAAGGAAAACCGAGGGTTTACGCTTATAACTAAATATTTACTAGCACAGCATATAAGCTAACAAGTGAGGAAGGAACCTGGTAGAGCAGGAGAGGAAGTGTCTGTGTCCCCATCTCACACTGGTAGCACCAGTCTAAGGAGCAGCAGCCAGACCAAACCAGGTGCTATGCCTCCCTAAGCACCAGTTGCCCTAAAGACGTATTTTTTGTAATTACTCTGTTATATCTTTCCTCAAAGCCTTCAGTACCAGACTTGCGTAATGGAAGGCTTTGTGGTTTTTTTCCCCTTACAAATCCCTAAAGGGTTTTGACAAGGGAGGAAGAGGAAGTAGCAATTGCTACAATGCATACACGTGTTTACAGTACCGTATTGTTCAAGAAGGTCTGCGTGAATTCTGGTTTTGGTGTAAATGAACTCAACCTCTAAGCATCTGTGTCAGAGGCTGCACATCTGGCTCCAGTTCCCAGCTTAGGGCTTTTGGGAAAGTCTGGTGTGGAAAGTGCGTGACCCTCCTTCATACCACCCTGGTAGCAAGCTGGAACCTGGGCCGTGTCGGACGTTTCACTACTTGAGCTGTTCTGGAAAAGACATCCAGGGTTGACGTGATATGTACACAAACCCAAAGGTGTTTGCACACCGTTTGGGGGAAACAACTGAGCTGGGGAACTGATGCTGCTCACACGGATGAAACTTGCCTGGAGCCAGCAGTGTCTTTGTGGGTTTCCTGCTCTCAGGCACTGTCAGTGCTTGCTGTGAAGGGATTCAGCTACACCAGTGCCAAGTGTCCAAGTTTCTGGTCAGGTTTGATGCCTGACACGTCCCTGCCAAATGTTTCCTTTTTGCAGCGCCATCGGGGTAGCCTTACAATCTTCTGTGTCCCACAGGATGATTGCCAAAGCTGGTGAGACTGGGCCAGCTTACTTTTCTGCCTCTCTTGAGCCAAACTGTCCCGGTTGCCCAGACTTAACATTCGTGCCCAGTGTGCAGAACCTAGGCAAAGTCCAAGACTCGCCATACCTTCCTCACGTGCACCTGAGGAATGCCATCTGCACCCGACTTGTGCTTTCTGGGTGTGCAGCAGATACTTCTGGCATGGTGGTGGCAGTATGTAAAGTATTTATCAAAAATATCAGAAAAAGACAGTAGAAGATCAAAGATGAGAGCTTAGTGTCAGAAAGAAATGAAAATTTGATCTGCAGACTTGAGGAGATTGATTTTTTGGATGAAGAGAGAGTGATGGTATCCCATTTGACAGCAATGATGGAATGTTTTGTTTATTTTTATTAGAACTGTCAGGATGTTAAATAGCAATTATATCTTTTTAAATTAGTAAGCACTGGAGAGTATTTAAAGAGTTAAGGAAGGAGGGTTTTTTGTTATTACCTTTTTAACCCTTCTTGGAATTTTGGCTAGAACAGCAAATGTGCCATTCATGGGGAAATACAGGAGATGAGATGTTGGTTTTGTAAGTTGATTAACTCTTTTTTGCAGGAAAAACACTGGGAAGTTTGATATGGGACAGAGCTAGGAAGGCAGAGTAATTTATGTTAGTTATCTTGGGTTTTATGAAAATAAAACCTTGTCATGTAGGTGGGATTTATTTTTTTAAGATAAAGTAGAAGCTTGATAAAATAGAAGCTTGATAAAGGTAACCTTTTAAAGATAGGCATTATTTATGTCTTAGTCCAGCATTTTGTTCTGATTCTATGCAACATCTTTGCAGATATAGCAGCTTCTTAGGAATGGAATGTGAGACACAGCTTCAAAAAGCTACTGTCAGGGTTGAGAATTAATCCTTTAGTGACACTTCTGGTGTCAGCCTGCTGGCAGGTATTCTCAGTGACTAAGACTGACTTGCAGGAAATGTAAAATTGCACTAAAATTGCCAAAGACTGGGGCAGTAAGGAATAGGAGGCTTGGATCAGTCTAGACCTCTGCTTCTTTAATGAGCCAACCCAAAAGTCAGACACCTCAGAGGGGACATCACAGATCACATTTACAAGGTGAGGATTATGTTCTGCCAACCTATGATTATGAAACGAGCACTGGGGTGATCTATGTAAAATATCTGTGTGAAAGGGACCCTGCTTTTGAGCAGCATTAGCTCCGCATGCTGGTGCTCCAGAGGCAGTGCTTCAGAGGTTTGGGGCGAAGTTGAAAAGGGTTCAGAGAGGTGCTGCAAATGTGACTCAAGATCTAGGAGAGCTGCCATCGCGTGAGACATGCGATGAACTCGATCCAGTTCGTATGGTCAACAGAAAGTTAAGAATGGGCTTTGATCGGTCTACAAGTACTGTGTGGGAACGGGGCCATCAAGAGAGGCCACTCGAACGGCTTTGGCTGGTGGAACTGGCTCTTCCCTCGTGCAGCAGCTCGTGCTCACCAGTCTGCCCCGGGACTGATGATCCACCTCGAGGCAGATGTTTACACTGCAGTGGTTTGTCAGTGAGAGGGTCACGTGCGGATGTGGAAGGCACTGCTGACAGTAGATGGTGCTTTAATTTAGCAGAAAAGGGAAGAATGTGCTTAAGTGGTTCGAGGCTGAAACAAACACATCTGCATTCGAAATCGGTGAAAGCTCAAATCCTAACAGTAAGTGGGTAGAGCCGAGTGTCTGTAACTTGGAGCTTTTGGATGTCAGCACAGGATTTTTCAGTAAAAAAACTAGGAGTCAGAAATGTCATGGCTCAGAGACAGATGGGGAGAGAAATTACAGTATTTCACTCAGTGCTCTTGTTTAGGAGGTCAAACTTTTTTATCATAATCATCCAAAATGTGTATTTCCATCGGAAACTTCACCTGGCCAGAACCAAATAGTCTCTGTTGGTTTGCCTCCTGCAGCACCTTTCCCTTAAAGGTTTTGACAAAACCATTGCCATCATTGCCACTCAAATGCCATTTGGGACTGACTCTTTCCCTTCCTTCCTTGCCCCAATATACTGCTGAAGCAGATCTTGCCTCTTCTTTGTCACTGGCACCAGAACTGTGTATTTTTTTCTTGTGCCATTATCTATAAAAGTCTTCCCGTATTGCTTGATTTAATTAACACAAACATCCATGCTTCTTTGGCCTTTAAGGATGCAGGCGTGTGTCTGCCTTGTTGTTGGAAGGTTTCCTTCTGGAAGGGCTGGGGACTCCAGTGCAGCTCTGTCTGGGCTTGGGAAGCTGTTCTGAGTGGTTTTTTGGGTGCTGCACTGTTAATTGCACGCGCATGTCTGGCTGATGGCTCTGTCAGCAGGGTAACCCTCGGTGGTTTAGCTGATTCTTTCAAGTGTGCTCCAGCCCTGCTCTGCAGAGAAGGACCCCACATAAGCAGAGCTTTCCCCACGCTGGCTCCTCAGGCTGAGCGCAGCACAGAAGAGCCCGGGCAGCTGTGCCTGGGACTGAGCAGGCCGCCTAGCCCAGAGATCTGCTCCAAGCGGCTGATTGCCTTGGACCCTTTCCGAAGAAGGCTCTGCAGACACATATTCCTGCAGCGAACTACCAGAGCTGGGGGCACGCTGCCAGAAGAGCCAGCTGCGTTTGGGATTAGATGGCTGGAAAGAAGTCCTCTCCCCGTCTTCGAAACAAAATCACTTCTTAACATCTGCTGTAAAGAGTTCTCGTGACTCATGGCTCCACGAGAAGCCATTCTCTTCCTTTTCTTTTCTGTTTCTCTGATAATTAAGGTTATTTTCCTTCCTAGTCCTCACCCGTTGTGTCTATGTATGTGTTTCCTCCTGGGGGCGGGGTAGGGTCCTTTTTCTGTCCATGTAGTGTTTTTCCATCTCTTGAAGTCTCATGAGAACAGCAGCAATTTTGCACTCAGCAAGGTGAGCACCCCCCAGATAACCTGACAAGGTCTGCCTGCACTGCCTGAAGATTGCTCGGAGAGAGGATTTCCTTACTGAGCCCTTGCCTTATTGCTATTTCAGTGATAAATGAGTAATGAAGAGGTTTAACTAAACAGGTGGGTTTGATTCAAGCCCATCATTACAGGGTATGTGGGGGGAGAAGACTTGCTTGTCCTGACAGCCTGTCTCATCAGGCCACACATGGAGTGAGGTGTTGAAAGCAGTTTATCATAGGCGATGCCTGGGCATGATGAGGTGAGCTGGGGATCCAAGTGTTTCTCTGTCATCCCCTTGATTCTTAATATTCCCAAAGGTTTCTTGAGTTCTTGGATGGATGCAAACAGAAAGACATGTTACAAAAATCACCTCTTTCCTGTGTTTTCTCCACAGTCTCAGCTGCCGACGATGTATTATTGTGGGAAATGGTGGAGTACTTGCCAATAAGTCGTTGGGGTCAAAAATTGACGACTACGATGTTGTTGTCAGGTGAGTCTTTGGCATCACAGTTTTCTTGTCATTTATTCAGTTTCAGTTGGCATGCTCTGCAGGCAAAGGCTAAACATACACTAGTGAAGATAACCATTAGTATGGAAGCATTAACTAATGTGGAGGAAAAACATCAAGAATATATAAATGTTTAAGTTGTAAATGGTGATCCCATGAAAGGGTAAGGGCACTCCTCAAGCATTCCATGTTCCACAGCTGTTTGGGAATGTGCTCTCTCCTACGATTCAACTTGAACCTTCTTTTCTGAGCTGCTTTTTTAAAAGCTGCTTCTTTTATAATGCCCTTAGGTGGTGAATCAGTAAAACATGTTGTTAGATCTGTTCACAAGTACACCCCCTTGGTAGTCTAGGGAAGAATTATTTGTCATACATATATAGTGTTCCCCAGGACCCACATTTTACAGGTAGGAAGGGAAGAACTATGAACTGTGCAGCATAGGGTCTCAGGAAGCAGTAAACCTCCATGAGTGAGGACCCCATAATGATTAAACAGCAGTAGGTGTGCCCTAGAAGCTGTGAATATTTCAATTGTTTCACTGTGGATGATGATATTGAATAAGGGAGCAGGAGCAGAATGGCTCCGAGCGGAAAGGACCACAGTCGAAGTTAGGACTCTTTGCTTTTGCTGAGGACCTGGATCATCGCCATCTCAGAATGCTTGAAAAACGTGCTGATATGGGAAATCATAGGTCTGGTCATAACTCTTAGCAATAAATCTGTCAAGTCAGGGAGGTGTTCTGGGTGACTGGAGATTAACAAATATAATACCTGTGCTAATGGAGAGTGAGTGTGTGTAGGAGGGAGGAGGACATGCTCTGGGGAACTAAACCTATTTGTCTGACTTGGAAAAATGCAGTGGTTTTGTAGCAGGTTCTGAAGTGTGAGTAACAAAATATTATGATGGTAAATAGGAGAAGTGGGATAAACCACAGTGTAGATTTGTAAAAATTGCTTTAACAGAGTCTAAGCTACTGTTTTTTTCTTCATAACATAACTGGTTTCATATCAAAGAGAGTGTAACCAATCTCACCTCTCTGAACTGTAGTCAACCATGAGATGTGATGGCAAATGGCAAATTCTTAGATAATTTGGAACAAATAAAATGATTACTAAAAGAACTTAAGGTACAGAGAAGATATTTAGCATGGTCTCTTTTCTCTCCTGTGTGCTAGTAATGGGCACACGAGAAAAGAACAGAACATACATAGAATAGCAACTACCCTCTCGACTCTGGACAAAGACCAAGAAAGAAGATCCTTTTCAGTCCTTTGGTCCTGTGAGCTGTTCCCTGCTGCCCCAGTATTGCTCTGGACACAGGGATGACTGCTCAGAACAGGATGAAACTTTCACAGCCCTTCTCCCAGTTCATCGCACTATCAGTTGCTCGCGAAGAGCTTGTACTGCTTGTCATAGTCTGGTGGCTCGCAATTATCGCAGCTGCTGTTAGTAAAATTCAGTTACAGCCTCTTTTTGGGCGCAGGCTGTTCACAAAGTAGCAAGAGAACAGTTTCAATCCATCTGTGTTAGGCCACCCACTAAAATTTACATCAGAAGGTTTACTATTTAATTTCCAAATGAAAAGTTCAACTCTTTCTCCCCACATCCATAAATCCAAGTCAGTTTGCAAGCTGAGAGGATAAGAGGGCAGCTAAGCACCTGTGCTGGCTGCAGGTTGGATAAAGGAGAGAAAAGTCAACTGCAAAGGTTAAATGAAGCCAGGTGGCTGGATGTGGGACAAGAGGAGGTGAGAGCAGACTACTTCTTAACTGCATCCACTTGCTTCCTTTTTCTTCCTGTGGAAGCTTGGGAAGTCCTTTGTGTATAGAATCCTTTTTTATGGGTTGCAAAGCTCCTTGTAAGGGTCAGATTTGGGACTTCAGATATGAGTTTTAAGGGAAAAAATGAAGCATCTTTGTAGACAAAGAAATGATCCAGCAGGATAAGGAGCTTTTTTTTATGCATCATGTCTTACTGTGTGAGGGCCATTAATTGCAGCAAGAAATTTTTTATCTTGTGATAAAGAAAGATCAGCTTTGACAGCTCTAAAACAGTGTGGAGTGAGTTTGTTGCTGGTTTTTCTTTAACTGGGTGTTACCAGATTTCAGTGCAGATGTTATTCCCGGCTGTCACACTGTTTACCTGGCAGGAGCTTCTTGCAGCAGTTATCAGTGCTCTAATGTGTAAAAATGCCTCTTTAGAATAGATTGCGGAGGGGAAGACAGGTGTGTATCAGCAACTCCTGACTGAGATAGGGAGTTCGCCTATGGAGAAAACTGTGTCCATGGGCTGTATGAGGAGGTCTGGCTTCCTAGAAGTTGTACAAGATGTAGCTGAGTTCATAGCTAGTGGCGTGCCCTACCTGAGAGGAGGCTCAAGCTGCTTGACGTGTACCTTGGTGAGTGCAGGTTGCAGCTGCCAGAACTCTCCCTGCTCGATTGCCTGCGCTGCCCCAGGGGTGCAGGCTGCTGGTGCTGGCTCATTAGCAGGACCCCAGTGCTATGACTCCATCAGCAGCTCGCATTCTGGCCCTTTGCTGGAGATTGGAGTTCGTTTTACTTGGGGGAAATGGTTTGTTTTCTTTCCTGTCTAGATACGAAGTAGGGGTCCCAGGTTTGGGGAGCTTTAGCAAGGTAAGCAGCGAAACGGCTCACCCAGCAGCTGGGAGCGGGGAGACCCCTGCCAAAGAGCTGCACGTCGAGATCTGAAAGGACCACAGACACTAACCATCCCCTCACGTTCCAGAAGACAGATGAAAATATGCCTAACAAGCTTTCTTTATGTTATGCTTAACTATTTATCTGTTGCCTTTAGGGCCGTTTGCTCTTACAGTATGAAAGGTCATCCAGCCCACACACGGTGCCTTGAAGGTTAAATTATGTTCGTAGTAAAGGTGACTGATGTGTGAACGCTCAGTCAGCCTGAGAAGAAAAGACAAGGGATCAGGCTGGCCTGGGAGCACTGTTTTTGTATGAGTGAGGGGGATATAAGCCCTGAAAAAAGGCTTCATCTCCTGTTTAAATTGCGCTGGTGCTGATTCTTAAGGTGCTTTCCATTTAATATTTTATTACCAGTGTTAAAGTATTTTTACTAAACGAATACAGGAATTCATTCTCCTTAATTCTGAATAGAATTTCAGATTCTAAAGAGGGATTTTCTTCTACTGAAAGGTTTCCCACCTAAAATGCTTACCCGGGCTGAAAAAGACAAATCCAGATCCTCGTTAACATTCCTACATAAGAAAATTTGCAGTCCATAAGCACTTTCCAGTGTATTGAACTACCGCAAGTCAAGAAGGCTGCAATAATTCAAGCAGGCAATGCTGTTCCATCAGGGGCTGCTGTTTGATGTCAGCAGGATTTGTATTCCAAGTTATTTGAAATTTCCTCAGCTTTGTGTTTCTGGTATTGAATAGTCTGTCCTACGTACACAGAAGTTCTGAATAATGTCACGAAAGTCATCATCGCTGTTAACACCACAGCAGCTTGCTTTCTGAAGGGGAAAAAAAAAACTTCCTGAGGGGAGTTTTAACAAAAGCACAGTCTAAACACACAGCATTCCCTCTAAATGCACTTCCACAGCAGCGTCTCCTCCGTGTCGGTGGGACTGCAGTGCTGCTGAGCCTTGCCCCAGCACACGGTCCAGCCTCTTCTGTGCTGGCACTGCAGGGCAGCTCACCTCCTTGATGGGTCAGTCTGGGGAACTAGACCAGGTGCAGACTGTTCCTTTTTATTTATTCCTTTTCTTTTTTCTCCAAAAAACAGTAGCTGTCTTAGTTCCCCAAACAGTCTCACTGCAGGTAGGATGAGCAGTGCAAGCTCTGGACTGGTGTGGGAGCAAGAGACCAGTTTCAGACTGCTTAAACTGCCATGGAACTGCAGTCCTCTGTTCCAGTACAGTCTTGCTTCTGCAAGATATCCCAGGAGTGACTGAACACTAAAATATTAATGGTTAGTTTGTAAGTCTAAATTTGTAAGGACAATATTTTTCTTTTTTTTTTTTTCCCCAAAGCTTCCAACTCAATTTAAATCACAAGAGTGAAGTGCAGAAGTTGCTTGCATTCTATTAAATCAAGTAATTTAAATAGCTTTTAATTAAACTGTTGCCACTTGGAATAAAGCTTTGTAAATGTTTACAATGAAGAATTGCAAGGGTTATGTTTGCTGCCATAGCAGCTGTGTACGGAGAGATCGGGGCTGGCAGCGATGCTGCATCATTGTGCGTGAGTGTAAATGGGAACCCATGACAGCGTCCTTCTCTGGTTGCCCTACAGGCTGAACTCCGCTCCGGTGAAGGGCTTTGAAAAAGATGTGGGTGGCAAGACGACTCTCCGGATCACATATCCTGAAGGTGCAATCCAGAAAATGGAACAGTATGAGAAGGATTCCCTGTTTGTTCTGGCAGGATTCAAATGGCAAGATTTCAAGTGGCTGAAGTACATTGTTTACAAGGAGAAAGTGGTAAGAGCACTGTTAGCTGGCATTGTGAAGGTCACCTAATTAGAAGTGGTGTACAGACGTGATACCACGGGCATATCTGCCACGTTTTGGTCTGAGGAGAGTTCCTTTGTGTGCCCTGCTGCATTTAAGTGAAGGCTTTTTTTTACATCCATGGACTTCAGTTTTAATTAAATATGTTTTACAAATACATCTGCTCCCTGTAACCTGACCTTGCATCACAGATGAGGCTTTCTATTGAAGAATACATAGCATGTGCTGTGAATAGTGAATGTAACTTTCGTTTTAAAGAGTACATGAAAGGACCGGATTTTGCATGGGTTTTTTGGACTCATAGGGTTTAAGAACAGAGGAAGGAAAAGAACAATGATAAGAGAAGGAAATGGGTGTTTGGGGGTAAAGATGCAATGACTTTGGATAGGAGGAAGAGACAGCAACAGTACAATTTGTTGAAAAGTCCACCATCCACAGACTTAATGTGACCTCCTGAATAGCACAAGTCATTATACGTTCCTCAATTATTGCTGTACTGAGATTCATAATTTGGGTTTGGCTAAAGTATCACCTGGAAGAACAGTATCAAATCTAATTTAAGATGACTGAAATGGTTAAGATACTGTTTCCCCCATGTAAGTATTTTGTCCCAGTCAGTTGTATTAGTGCTCTTCTTTATTACCATGGACCTGTTACAGGGTTGTTTTCCTTAATTCACCCACCCTAACGGGAATCAGGTTGTGATGACTGACTTCTCGTTCAGAGGATGGTTTGTCTGTACCCGTTGCCATGAAGACTAGAATAAATGACCTCTATTTAGCTATGATTCTTGTTCTATAAATCATATATTTCTGTTTTCAGATATTCTTTCATGATTTTTCAACAAGTAATGAGACAAATGGATCGGTATTTGGAGGGTGGGATGTTAGCTTATGTGTTGGGGACAAAAAGAGGAGGTTGGTAGTTTATATGCAGAATGCAAACAGTCTGGGAATATAATTGTATACAGCTGTGATACAGACAGCCTCAGGACTTCTACCTCGCTTGAGTCTCACACTGGCACCAACTTGCATTTATTTTTCTGTTACAGGGCAGTTGTCATTACCTGTTAGCCTCTGGGCATGCACAAGTGGCCTTTGGTAATGTGAATAATTGAATCAGAAGGTTTCTTTGTGGTTTCTGTCCTGCTTCTATTCCTCATTCTAGGCAAAGGAAGGGCCTGCATTTAATATCCTGATGGTATCAGTGCCCTGCTACCTGAATGCTGTTGTGGGAACTCGTAGCCTTTAGCTTGAAGTTCAAAGGACAGATTGGTTTGCTTCAAAACAAATTCAATTTCCACCTGATGTTTGCAGTCATGCAGCATTGGCTGTAATGTGGCGTCCCCTGGTCCCGTAAAGATATGGCGAGCAGTTTGTTAAAACTTGGTAGAAGTCTGGGAAGAGCGATTGCAGTCATCGTAACTGAATGCTTCAGTGCCCAGCTTGGCAGAGAGCAGGAAGAACTTGAGCTTCTCACATTGCAGGTTATTTGAATGCTCTTGTGGTTGGCTCCTTATCCTTCATTTCTTTGGAATAAACACTACTTTTTTTTAGTTCTTGTAGGTGATGTTTTCCAGATCTCTTAATTTCTGTTGCTCTTTTGAAAGCTTGCAGTTGATTCATATTTTTCTTAAAGAGCACTGTCACAAATGTACAGAGAACATGAAATAGAGAGGAGCAAACCACTGGCCTTGCAGTCTTCACGCTTCATACATCCGCTGTTGTGTCTGCCTTTGCCACGGTGGCATGGGACTGCGGGTGAGCGTCCAGCTTGTGGCTCATTCTGCCTCCAGGTCTCTCTCTGCAGAGCTCTCCCATATACCTGTCATTCTTTCCAAATTCATGCCCTCTGCATTGTAATAAACATACTTTTTTACTCCATCATCCAGGTTGATAATGAAAGCACTAAACAGAATCGGTTCATAGGAAGACCCCAATGTAATATGTCCTTCATTTCTACAATGAGCCCACTGAGAATTCCTCCTGGTTAGGGTTTTTTTTGGCCACTTTAGAACTCATATCACAGTAGTGTCATTAATAATGCTCTTTGGCATGTTTGTGAAAGTAATATGTTAGAAGCTTTACTGAATTCCAGACCATGCCTTGCTTCTTCCTATGTTTTTCATGTAGGAAAAGAAAGGAAATCTGTTTTTCCTGTATAAAATACTATTTTTCAGTAGTGATATGCTCTTGACAAATCCTCCTGGATTAGTACTTATCTTCAGTGGTTTTTTATCTTTATTTTCTATAATTAATTTTCCTATTCTGAGAATTTATACCATAAATCAAGTCTTTTCGCTTTTTTGCCTTCCTAGTGCTAGGAACTACTTTTGTCCAATTTTCAATCCTTTGACACCCTACCTGTTCCACATAAGTTCCCAAAGGGAATCATCACTGTTTTTGAGGCTGCTGAACCATTTCACTGAATATTTTAGGATGAGGTCCAGGTGACTGGAAAACATCTGTCTTGTCCTCTCTAATCCGATCTCTCCCTATCTGAGGCTGAGATCTTGTTGTCGCTGGCTGTAGCTGCGAGCAGGTGGCTAGCACAGCTGCCTTTTCGAATGGAGACTGATGCACAGAGTGCTGTCTCTTAGCTCGAAGAACTGGCCCGATGGAGAACCACCAGTGCTACGGGAATACGGCGTGGGCGTCTGTTTGTTCTGGTAGTGAGTGCTAGTATTTTTATCAGTGTGTGGTAAGCTCAAAATGACAAATGCCTGCCCAGTGCTCTCCGTGGAAAGTTTCTGGTTCTCTCTCTGCTGATTGTCTGGAGAAAAGGGGCATTTTTCCTTTCCTGGATTTATCTTGAGATGCTTAATTTGATCTAGGAGCTCTGTACACCACTGTTGCTTTTTCATTGTCTGAGATTAGGCCTGTCCCTCTGCTAGACTTCAGCCCCGCTGCAAACGAGTGGTTTCAGCCAGGACTCCGACCTCAGGACAGAGATGAGGGAAATTAAAGCATCCTGCTGAAGAACATGACTGCTGTGGGAATGGACACAGTCCTTCAAAAAATGGGTCAGATTCTGACCCCTCTGTTTCCTTTGCCCCTGAATTCTGATGGCAACTGCATGTTTCCATGGTAGAGTCGTGGGTGGGATTTGAGACTTTCTGATTTTCTTCAGACGTTGTCAGTCCTGGAGCTGCTTGGACCTGCATGACTGGAGGTTCTGGGCCAGGCACTGGGATCCTTGCTTAGTCCTCTTTCAAGTAAGTGAAATCAAAGGGAGTTTATCCGAGAGGGAGTAAATGAAAGACGAGTGGCTATTTATTACCAGGGTCAGTGGTCAGATAAGCTGATTCTCCCTGCAGCTGAGAGGGATTTGCTCTGTGTTATGTTAGTCTTTTGGCAACACTTGCACACTGAGAAAGGGATAAGTGCTTTACTCTGTAGAGAGGAGGATTTTCAGGAGATGTCTTAAGGAAAGAAACAGCGTGATGCGGAAGCAACAACAGAACAGTAAGGTAGAGGATTTGATGCCTTCCATTCAGTAAGATGAAAACCTTTCAGAGACTTGCATGATGCGCCAGTGTCCTGTCTGTATTTAGTGCACACTGTGTACAGGAAGAGGAGCACTGGAATATGGACCAAAGAAAAAGGAAAAGCTCAGCCACTTTTTATTTCTCACTAAAATGTATGGAAGCCGGGGGGGGGATGGGAAATAGAAAGAAAAAGAAACCTTGAGAAAATGTTAATATAAATAAAAAGGACAGTCTTGGCTAAATGATTGTGCTGTGTCATCAGCAGAGCAAAGGTAACTTGCATCAGAGTTCTGGGTGAGCTGGCGCTCAGAATTGCAAGGCTGTAGCAAGTTAGGGCAGTACTGCATCACTGGAGAGTATAGACCTGTACATTACTAGGGGAAAGGTGGGTGAATCTGGGCAAGTTAAACCCTGGTAATCTGATTTCAATCCTTTGACAAGCATTAAACTCAAGGAACAAATCATTGCACGTGTTGCAGGTAAATGGGGAGAAAAGGGTGTGGGATGGAGAAAAGTGACGTGTAGCAGAGGGGGGAGGATTGCACCACTCTAACCCAGTATTTAGATGGACAAGGGGAAAGGACCTGGACTGGAGCCCCAGACTTATTGCAGAAAGGCCACGGATGTGAGTTGTTCGTGCGTCTTTGGTGGCTGGCCTGGCAGTGCTGACTTGCAGTCGTTGCTGCAAGAGGCTGCTGGCAGTGCCAGGCACCCCTGCTCGGATCAAACAGCTTTGGGTAGTGCAGCCCCAGCGGTGGTTACTTATGGACACTCACTCTCAACACTTGTGCTCCCTCCTGGGCTGTTTATTGTCCCAAGAGCCATTACCCACCCATCTCGTGATCCACCTTGCTCCTTCCCACAGCTGTACCGTCTTGCATCACCTGGGTTTTGCCAGTCACAGGAGCTCTTCCTGGACATCTAAAGTAACAGGGGAATTACGGAGTGGGTTTTTTTTCTGCTGTATATTTCCCTTCTCCATTCTCCTGGGGAAGGATTAAAATAATAGTCAAAAGCTGAAAGTTTCTTCACTGCGTTCCGGGTAGTTGCTTTTGAAACAGAAGAATTTACAAGCAGCAATTATGCAAACCAGCCATCACAAGCTGGCACCGAGGCTGATTCCAGGGTGGTTTTTTTGCCTATCATTAGTGAATCAGAAGGAACTCTCTTGTTTGCATAGGGCTCAGTTCCCTGAACATCTGGCACATGGCAGCAATGCAGCCAAGTGAGGGCAAAGGTTTCACTAGAAATTGGCAGCTCGCATGCTTCCTTCTCGTGCGGTAATGAGCCCGCGGACACTTCCAGCAGGGATCTCTGCAGCCGCTGCCAGAAGGAGTCACTTGTGCAGTAAGCGCCCGCGGCACCTCGAGGCTCTCTTTGATAGTGAAAGTCATAGGAGCGAGTGAGCACCTGCCTGCCAGCGAGGCCAGGCGCGGCTGTCTGTCTGTCCCTTGCAGGGGCATGCCTCTGACAGCTCGCACGA